TTTGGCTGCGGGTTTCCTAAATAATTGCAGCTGTTTATCTTGTCCTGGTAGAGCAGGAAGTCATTGTTGTAACACATATAGACAATGTTTGAGACCAGATCTCTTAGTCATCACTATAGTGAGGTTCTTTTAATCATTCACTGGATCAGTTTAGAAGAGAGAGGGCCAACCTGCTTGGTCACCAATACCACCCCCTTAACACCTGGGTGCGGAGGGCATGATGGGGCAGTATGTACAGGAGAGGAGGGTGGGGGGGGTGAAGGGGGGGGGGGGGGATGTGGCCCCCATGGAAGGGGGGGGAGAGGGATGTGGCCCCCATGGAAGGGGGGGGAGAGGGATGTGGCCCCCATGGAAGGGGGGGGAGAGGGATGTGGCCCCCATGGAAGGGGGGGGAGAGGGATGTGGCCCCCATGGAAGGGGGGGGAGAGGGATGTGGCCCCCATGGAAGGGGGGGGAGAGGGATGTGGCCCCCATGGAAGGGGGGGGAGAGGGATGTGGCCCCCATGGAAGGGGGGGGAGAGGGATGTGGCCCCCATGGAAGGGGGGGGAGAGGGATGTGGCCCCCATGGAAGGGGGGGGAGAGGGATGTGGCCCCCATGGAAGGGGGGGGAGAGGGATGTGGCCCCCATGGAAGGGGGGGGAGAGGGATGTGGCCCCCATGGAAGGGGGGGGAGAGGGATGTGGCCCCCATGGAAGGGGGGGGAGAGGGATGTGGCCCCCATGGAAGGGGGGGGAGAGGGATGTGGCCCCCATGGAAGGGGGGGGAGAGGGATGTGGCCCCCATGGAAGGGGGGGGAGAGGGATGTGGCCCCCATGGAAGGGGGGGGAGAGGGATGTGGCCCCCATGGAAGGGGGGGGAGAGGGATGTGGCCCCCATGGAAGGGGGGGGAGAGGGATGTGGCCCCCATGGAAGGGGGGGGAGAGGGATGTGGCCCCCATGGAAGGGGGGGGAGAGGGATGTGGCCCCCATGGAAGGGGGGGGAGAGGGATGTGGCCCCCATGGAAGGGGGGGGAGAGGGATGTGGCCCCCATGGAAGGGGGGGGAGAGGGATGTGGCCCCCATGGAAGGGGGGGGAGAGGGATGTGGCCCCCATGGAAGGGGGGGGAGAGGGATGTGGCCCCCATGGAAGGGGGGGGAGAGGGATGTGGCCCCCATGGAAGGGGGGGGAGAGGGATGTGGCCCCCATGGAAGGGGGGGGAGAGGGATGTGGCCCCCATGGAAGGGGGGGGAGAGGGATGTGGCCCCCATGGAAGGGGGGGGAGAGGGATGTGGCCCCCATGGAAGGGGGGGGAGAGGGATGTGGCCCCCATGGAAGGGGGGGGAGAGGGATGTGGCCCCCATGGAAGGGGGGGGAGAGGGATGTGGCCCCCATGGAAGGGGGGGGAGAGGGATGTGGCCCCCATGGAAGGGGGGGGAGAGGGATGTGGCCCCCATGGAAGGGGGGGGAGAGGGATGTGGCCCCCATGGAAGGGGGGGGAGAGGGATGTGGCCCCCATGGAAGGGGGGGGAGAGGGATGTGGCCCCCATGGAAGGGGGGGGAGAGGGATGTGGCCCCCATGGAAGGGGGGGGAGAGGGATGTGGCCCCCATGGAAGGGGGGGGAGAGGGATGTGGCCCCCATGGAAGGGGGGGGAGAGGGATGTGGCCCCCATGGAAGGGGGGGGAGAGGGATGTGGCCCCCATGGAAGGGGGGGGAGAGGGATGTGGCCCCCATGGAAGGGGGGGGAGAGGGATGTGGCCCCCATGGAAGGGGGGGGAGAGGGATGTGGCCCCCATGGAAGGGGGGGGAGAGGGATGTGGCCCCCATGGAAGGGGGGGGAGAGGGATGTGGCCCCCATGGAAGGGGGGGGAGAGGGATGTGGCCCCCATGGAAGGGGGGGGAGAGGGATGTGGCCCCCATGGAAGGGGGGGGAGAGGGATGTGGCCCCCATGGAAGGGGGGGGAGAGGGATGTGGCCCCCATGGAAGGGGGGGGAGAGGGATGTGGCCCCCATGGAAGGGGGGGGAGAGGGATGTGGCCCCCATGGAAGGGGGGGGAGAGGGATGTGGCCCCCATGGAAGGGGGGGGAGAGGGATGTGGCCCCCATGGAAGGGGGGGGAGAGGGATGTGGCCCCCATGGAAGGGGGGGGAGAGGGATGTGGCCCCCATGGAAGGGGGGGGAGAGGGATGTGGCCCCCATGGAAGGGGGGGGAGAGGGATGTGGCCCCCATGGAAGGGGGGGGAGAGGGATGTGGCCCCCATGGAAGGGGGGGGAGAGGGATGTGGCCCCCATGGAAGGGGGGGGAGAGGGATGTGGCCCCCATGGAAGGGGGGGGAGAGGGATGTGGCCCCCATGGAAGGGGGGGGAGAGGGATGTGGCCCCCATGGAAGGGGGGGGAGAGGGATGTGGCCCCCATGGAAGGGGGGGGAGAGGGATGTGGCCCCCATGGAAGGGGGGGGAGAGGGATGTGGCCCCCATGGAAGGGGGGGGAGAGGGATGTGGCCCCCATGGAAGGGGGGGGAGAGGGATGTGGCCCCCATGGAAGGGGGGGGAGAGGGATGTGGCCCCCATGGAAGGGGGGGGAGAGGGATGTGGCCCCCATGGAAGGGGGGGGAGAGGGATGTGGCCCCCATGGAAGGGGGGGGAGAGGGATGTGGCCCCCATGGAAGGGGGGGGAGAGGGATGTGGCCCCCATGGAAGGGGGGGGAGAGGGATGTGGCCCCCATGGAAGGGGGGGGAGAGGGATGTGGCCCCCATGGAAGGGGGGGGAGAGGGATGTGGCCCCCATGGAAGGGGGGGGAGAGGGATGTGGCCCCCATGGAAGGGGGGGGAGAGGGATGTGGCCCCCATGGAAGGGGGGGGAGAGGGATGTGGCCCCCATGGAAGGGGGGGGAGAGGGATGTGGCCCCCATGGAAGGGGGGGGAGAGGGATGTGGCCCCCATGGAAGGGGGGGGAGAGGGATGTGGCCCCCATGGAAGGGGGGGGAGAGGGATGTGGCCCCCATGGAAGGGGGGGGAGAGGGATGTGGCCCCCATGGAAGGGGGGGGAGAGGGATGTGGCCCCCATGGAAGGGGGGGGAGAGGGATGTGGCCCCCATGGAAGGGGGGGGAGAGGGATGTGGCCCCCATGGAAGGGGGGGGAGAGGGATGTGGCCCCCATGGAAGGGGGGGGAGAGGGATGTGGCCCCCATGGAAGGGGGGGGAGAGGGATGTGGCCCCCATGGAAGGGGGGGGAGAGGGATGTGGCCCCCATGGAAGGGGGGGGAGAGGGATGTGGCCCCCATGGAAGGGGGGGGAGAGGGATGTGGCCCCCATGGAAGGGGGGGGAGAGGGATGTGGCCCCCATGGAAGGGGGGGGAGAGGGATGTGGCCCCCATGGAAGGGGGGGGAGAGGGATGTGGCCCCCATGGAAGGGGGGGGAGAGGGATGTGGCCCCCATGGAAGGGGGGGGAGAGGGATGTGGCCCCCATGGAAGGGGGGGGAGAGGGATGTGGCCCCCATGGAAGGGGGGGGAGAGGGATGTGGCCCCCATGGAAGGGGGGGGAGAGGGATGTGGCCCCCATGGAAGGGGGGGGAGAGGGATGTGGCCCCCATGGAAGGGGGGGGAGAGGGATGTGGCCCCCATGGAAGGGGGGGGAGAGGGATGTGGCCCCCATGGAAGGGGGGGGAGAGGGATGTGGCCCCCATGGAAGGGGGGGGAGAGGGATGTGGCCCCCATGGAAGGGGGGGGAGAGGGATGTGGCCCCCATGGAAGGGGGGGGAGAGGGATGTGGCCCCCATGGAAGGGGGGGGAGAGGGATGTGGCCCCCATGGAAGGGGGGGGAGAGGGATGTGGCCCCCATGGAAGGGGGGGGAGAGGGATGTGGCCCCCATGGAAGGGGGGGGAGAGGGATGTGGCCCCCATGGAAGGGGGGGGAGAGGGATGTGGCCCCCATGGAAGGGGGGGGAGAGGGATGTGGCCCCCATGGAAGGGGGGGGAGAGGGATGTGGCCCCCATGGAAGGGGGGGGAGAGGGATGTGGCCCCCATGGAAGGGGGGGGAGAGGGATGTGGCCCCCATGGAAGGGGGGGGAGAGGGATGTGGCCCCCATGGAAGGGGGGGGAGAGGGATGTGGCCCCCATGGAAGGGGGGGGAGAGGGATGTGGCCCCCATGGAAGGGGGGGGAGAGGGATGTGGCCCCCATGGAAGGGGGGGGAGAGGGATGTGGCCCCCATGGAAGGGGGGGGAGAGGGATGTGGCCCCCATGGAAGGGGGGGGAGAGGGATGTGGCCCCCATGGAAGGGGGGGGAGAGGGATGTGGCCCCCATGGAAGGGGGGGGAGAGGGATGTGGCCCCCATGGAAGGGGGGGGAGAGGGATGTGGCCCCCATGGAAGGGGGGGGAGAGGGATGTGGCCCCCATGGAAGGGGGGGGAGAGGGATGTGGCCCCCATGGAAGGGGGGGGGGGGGGGTATGACAGGGGGTAGTAGGGTCAGGAGAGGAGTACAGATGGTATGACAGGATATGACTTTATGGTAGTCTGACCCGTTTATTTACTTTCCAGGCAGGTAATAACAGGCACATGGAGACTCACCCCCCGATGGGTCTTCCTGATTTATGGGGGTTGTCACCCCTACCTTAGACCTGACCGGATCATGAACACGCCTTATAAGTTCCCCCTAACCCGGTCTCCTCTCCCTCACAGCTCCTGGGCCAGCTAGAGAACACTGGACCCCCTCCGGCCGACAAAGAGAAAATCTCTTCCCTCCCGACTGTCACCGTAACACAGGAGCAAGTGGGTGAGTGTCCGACATCCTCCCCGTCCATCCTCCGGGACAACACTACAATGACATCATCACACTGCCATGTCCCCAATAGGCAGCCTCCAGTTCCTGATCTTTCTGATCACCCTGATTGATCTCTTTCATTGCAGACATGGGTCTGGAGTGTCCGGTGTGTAAAGATGATTACACAGTATCAGAACAAGTGCGGCAGCTGCCCTGCAATCACTTCTTCCACGGAGACTGTATCGTGCCTTGGCTGGAAATGGTAAGTCCCACCGCGCTTATCTACTTCCACTCCACCCAGCCTGGAAAGGGTTAAAGTAACACCATGGCAAGGCAGGACAGGTCCTCTTTAATGCCGCTTGCTACAGATTTGTGTACTGTTGCCTTGGCTGCAAAGAAGAGACCTTTTTGTGTGCCGGTTATAGAAAATGATTGCTGTAGATTGAAATGGAATGTCATTTGATTACTGTCTGTGCTGCCTGTTGAAGAGGTGTTGCTCACTTCCTGTCTTGGTGACCACACAGGAAGTGATGATAAAAAGAAGCGGCAATTGAACCCTTTTTTGTTTTTGGGCATTATGACATCATTAATGTTCCTCTGTTTCCTTCTCCCCCCTTAGCATGACACATGCCCTGTCTGCCGGAAGAGTTTAAATGGCGAGGACTCGACCCAACCTCCCCCCAGCTCCGAGGCCTCAGACAACAGCTACAGCAGTGACAGCCAGTCACATGACCAATGGACCTACTAAAGGCCCTCGGACCCATTCCCGCGGCGTGTACAGAATACGAGGACAGTCCGAAAGGCTCAAGGGGGGGTAGGGGGGGGTGGGGGGTCCGCGGAAGACCCTAGATGTTGCCACAAACCATCATTTGTTCGCCAACCTTCCAGATTCCACCACCCGCTGAAGGAAAGGGACCTATCGGAAGCGAGCGCCGCTCGGTTGCAGGAACCGTGAACTTCTTTAGTTTGCCGCGCCGGCAGTGACAAAGTTCCCTGTTCAATGTGGAGATTTCGGTTTTTGCCTCCCTGCAGTTCCCTCTCCACCGGGCCTCAAAATCCCGGTTCAGAGGGGCCCGTCTGTGCGGAGGGGAAGTAGCCCAGAGGACAAACAGAGCCACACTGCTTGCAGTCGGTCGTCTGGGGTCATGTGACCTCAAAGGGGAGGAGCTTTGTCAGGACTCCGTAATGCTCGGCCTTGTGACGGGACAATTATTCCTCCTCGTGGCATCTCACCGCTCCCCTATCTGGACTTGGATGTTGAAATCCTTGGGGGTTTTTTTCTTTTTTTTTGCACATAATTTGACCCTCTCGTCCCTCTCCTGATTTATTTTTTTTTTTCCCCTTTCAGTTCCCCCTTTTTTTGGCTGGGCGTGGGGCACAGTGAAAGGGTTCTAAGATACCAGGTCTGACGACCATATATACTATTAAATATTTGTAAAGTTAACATAAATTTGTTCATATACCCAGAATCGCCGAGTGTTTTCCTGTGTTCGTTCTCCAGGGCAGCTCCACCTACCAATGACTGGACCCAGAAGCAC